TGCGAGGTTCAGAAACCACTATCTATCTAGGTTGCAACCCCCGCGGCCTCTTGGTGTTGAAGAAATTCGTTCCCTTCATTTGAAAATGGGCCTTGTACAAGGCCCTATCTTCAACATGGAGCGACCGTTAGTGTGACGTCACCTCGTTTAGTCATTCTGATTTAAATGGGTTTGTTCGTTGAAAAATCGCTTAAAACTTGGTCTGAACTTTGTTGTGGTGCCTACAGAGTAAAAAGAATCAGCTTTATGACAGTAATGTGGCCTGGGCAAGGAGGTAATTTTGGGCTGTGACGTCACATATTTGAAAGTTTGTGTTTGGAATATGGGAAGCCTAAGATGTTTAATGAAAAATAAATGCCAGAACCGTGTTCCTGGTCATCCAATCTATAAAGTCGGGCACAATTTAACTGGTTTTAAAAACATTTTAGAAGGTGGGATAGTCCCTTTAAGGGTATCTTAGAATCTATAAAAGGTCGAGAGATGTTACCTTCATAAGGGTTTCTCTTTGTGGTCACACATTTTTGATGTTAACGGAAATGAACACTGGGTAGGTGGTGCACAGCCCCCGTTCACGAGCTCCAGAATCCCTTTACCGTGACGTCACCACGGCGGCAGAATCTCCCTTCACCCATAGGCATGCATGCAAATTTCATCATCTTTCGGGCGAGCTGGAGAAAAAATCAAGGCTTATATGTCATCAAAAGATGTACCAATGTAACAATGAATTGGCCTCATTACGATAAATGGGACTGAAACTAAAAAAGTAGGCCTATATCGAGCAAAAATCAGCAATTCAAATCACCCCTTCATTTGAATGTGAAGGATTTCCTCTGATGACGTCACTACGGCGCCTTTATTTCCCTAGTGAACCAACCTGAGTAGTAAAGGAATCTTGGGTGGTGCAGTCCTGAAAGTCAAAGTTCACACAAGCTGGCGCATATGTTGAAAGCTCAGCTTCCTGTTCTGATTTAGACAGCTGATGGCACCTTTGGTTAGCTTTGTTTGAGGAAGCATTCACTCGAGGTTCGAGGTGCAGGCAGTGATGCCATCCACATTTTTGCTCCATCCCAAGATCTCGACCAGAATTTCCCAAGATTCTCGTCTCAAATCCCAAGACTACCCATCGAATATCCTTAGGAGTACCCCAAGTAAATCCATAGCTTATTTTGGACATATTAGTGTGTTTAGTATTCAACTTTCTCTTCTTCGGGTCCACCCTTGTCCTTATTGGCGTATTTACAGCAGCTAATGTACCTAGAGGCCGGGGGGAGGGGAGGGGGAGGGGGCGATCGGACTCCTACAGCTGATCGGTTCCTGACCGAGTATAAGAGCTTCACGAAAAATGAAGATGCTGGCCTAGACAACATGAAGCCGGTGGTATCTGATATTATGGTCAGGTCATTCTTCGACCGTCAATGGTGGGTCAAGGACTTAAAACACAGTCCGAATCTGTTAGAACTTCTTGGAAACGAAGTCTGTGGCATTTTGGATTTATTTCAAAATTTGTCTCGTGACACATTTGGAGAAGCTAGGGTCAGGTGAGGTCAGGCTGATTTTAAGTGTTTTCCACCACTGAGTTTTGAAATATGGGCTCCAAAACAAGCTCTTAAAAACTTATGCGAATCCAATCGAAAAGCCTATGCTGTGAATCTGCGCGTAAGCCAGTGCCCGCTGGGGCCCATGAATTTTCAAGCCGGCGATGGCGAGGGGGTCTAAACGAGGACCTAACTCGTCCCCTGGACTATATAGTTACAAGACGTCAGCAGTGTTGTGAAGGTCGCAATGTTACGCTTTGATTATTTTTGGTCCAGCAGAGCCCAGAGGTCAGGTGACCAGACACTTTTCCGAGGTCAAAGACAAATTGCCCTTATTTTGGTTCGCGGTCAACGGATAAGCCTCCATAGAGCAAAACCGTAAAATGAAACGCTTTGTGCGGGAGCCGCTTTCTGAAATGTTTTTTAGGCATAATGTTTGTAAAAGCTTTTCATAGCCACCCAACATCATGGACGCCGGTGAAACAGGGCGCCGGAGGGCATATTAGTCACGTGACATTTGTAGCTTCTCCCCCTTCGTGTGCCTTCTACAATCTACATGCTAAACGTCACGTGTAAATTTCACGAACCTTGATCAAATCGCCCCAGGCGCCCTGTTTTCACCGTCGTCCATCATGCCGCCAAACCACCCATCCCCGTTGATCGGTAGTTGGAAATTAAACAAATGAGCGCCAGTTGCGAACAGCGACTGAAAGCTGCTACCCATACCCATATATACCCTACTGCTATACCCATAACAAGTAATGGTACAAAAATAATCCTGCGATCTCGGGAAGATAATGCCGGCTAGAAACATCGCAAGCTTCGTCCGTTACTTCAATATGTTTGATTAACCGTCCGTAGTGCAAATCCATCCTAAATCTATTATCGACCAAGGAAAAAGCATTCGACAGCATGAGAAGACAAAGTGAAATCAGCTTCTGCCAGATCCCAAGATATGCAGTGCAAATCACAAGATCCCAATGTTAATGTTCAAATCCCAAGATCTTGGGACAAATCCCAAGGAATGGCATCGCTGGGTGCAGGCCTTATCCTGAAAAAGGATCAGAGGTATATAGCTAGGGAAGTAATGAATGAAATTGATTCAAGCTGCTCTGAGTATAATTGACCACAAAGACATGGCTATTGTGAAAGCCCTGAAATAACTTTTAAACTGGTGTGTGAGTTAAGTGGAATATCAAGAATGGCAAGAGAACTAAAAATTGACCTAAAAATTATCTTCCATGTTTAGTTTCAACCAACTAAATTTTAAATTATTTCATTTAATTTAAAATTACAAGATGTTGCATGATTATCACTAACAAGTGGCAACAAATGCTACTTTTTACATACTATCCACTTTCACCCGGATATAGAATGCATGTGTCTTGATTTCATTATCGCACCAACACAGTTGTGCGAGATACTTACACAAAGTATGATGTTACACGTTGATGATATTCATCTGGGACAGTGATAATGTATTGTTAAGTTTGTTCAAAAGACCAGCTTTATTTCTTAGTAATGATAGCTTTTGGAAGACTTCAGTCTTCCTTCGTCAGCCTGTCAGAGCTCTAAAAATGCATACAAACGACCAAAATAGAAAATAAGATAAACAAATATTGTTCGTAAGCTAGGTACCATTTCAAAGTAGATCAATCAAGATAAAGCTGGCGTAAACAATCCTTGCAATACAATTGTACTAACCGTGCTCAAGTTAAATCAAAAGATTCTTCAGGTAACGCCTTTGATACAATTCACTGAAACTTCTTTTTAAGCACATTGTTAAGTAGCAGTGAAAGAATGAGAAAGCATTCGGCTGGCCCACCACCCAAATCAAAATTCAAGCTCAGCAGTTTGCAAATCTGCACACAACTGCCCAGAAAGCCCTTTCATACTTTTCCATGCATGATGAAGAGCGGATTTTTATGCATACGATAGTTATTAATACTTCGCCAGCACAATTATAAACTCTTTAAATGAAGAGAGAACACCAATGAACCCCGCGCCATGATTACGCGCAATGTATCGAAACGCGAGCGCCAGCTGCGCCGCGCTTGAGCGCAGCCATATCCTGGGATAATTTTCGGTATATAGTTGTAACCTCTCAGTTCTAGTTGTTTTTCTAGATGATATAGTATGATTCTAGTATATACTAGGAAAAACTTTGGAGTACCCGACTCTTTAGTGCCCTGGTTGGGACCATAGAGCATTGAATGTATCCAAAAGAAAAAAACAGTGTGGTGCTTGGCACATGTCGGAAGAATGAATAATGCACTTTATCAGGCCCAACTGAGGTGTCGCTAGTTGAGGCTATAGCACTATGCAATTCTGCCATCGTAAACGGCAAATTGTAGTCCTCAGTGTTATTAGAGTCAAAGATTGACGGGACAAGACGATATCTTGTCTGAGCAAAATCTATGAAACCGGGGCAGTAATTATTAGATGAGCTGCAGTGAGATATACTGTTGGCAATGGCATTAACAATGGCTTGCGGTTCACTTATTTTAACCCCATTTAGCATTAGGGGTGTGATGGGGGCGGGACGTTTCTTGCCAGAGAGGCGGCGAATCGATCCCCATATTTGACTCAACGGTGTCGTCGATGTAAATGTCTGTAAAAATGAGTGCCAGGCACGACGTTTTGCTTCTCGGATTTTGCGCCTGGTTTTGGCTCGCTCTCGGTTACGTTCTATTTGGTGTGCTACATCAGGGTTGCGTAAGTAGCTCCTAAAAGCACGCTTTCGACGAGCTATAGCCAGAGCTACTTCCTGATTCCACCAGGGTACCGGGATGGGTTTTGGTCGTTTTTTGGTGAGCGGAATGGCTTCTGATGCTGCATTTAAAAGTGTATTAGTGATAATGTCAATTCCTTGCTCTGGGGATATGAATGCTTCTTGTGTGATTGTAGCTTTGTTGTAGAATTTATCCCAGTCGGCTCTTGCTAAATTCCAACGTGGTATGAAATTCGGAACGCTGTCCTGACGGGGACAAAAAGTCGGCGTCAGTTTAATTGGGAAGTGATCACTGTCATAAATGTCACTGTCTACTTCCCAGTCAAAGTGGTTTCCTAAAGAGGCGGAACACAGCAAAGGTCTATGGCAGATTGCGTGTTGTGTCCTAAATTAAAGTGAGTATTGGAACCAGTGTTTAACAGAACAAGTCTGTGATTGTCTATAAAGCTTTCAATCATGTTTCCTTGCCGATCGGCGTGAACAGAGTCGTGCGACCATGCTTGGCTGTGGGCGTTAAAATCGCCGAGAAGAACGTATGGGTTTTTAAAATGTCCTACTAGGCGCGGCAGGCTGACATGTAACATCGCATTGTCTGTATCAGGTGGAACATACAGTGAACAAAAGTCAATGTCCCGGCCGTGCAATCGAATCGTGCAGGCAACGGCCTGGAGCTTAGTTTTGAGGTTGATCTGTGAATGTACAAAGTCATTACACTCATACATAGCCACACCACCATGTCGGCGTACCCCGGTGGTGTCATCCTGACGATACAGTGAATAGTTATTGAGATCGAAATTGTTCGTATCGTCTGGTAATAGCCACGTTTCCTGAAGGGCTATTAGAATTGGGGTTAGAACACTAAAGAAGTGAATTCGTCTAGCTCGTGACGAATTTCTTGCAGTGTTTTTGATGTCCAATAAAGTCGTTTGTCCAAACACCGCTGACGGAAGATTGTTTGCATGATTTACCAGTCTATGGAGGATCAATTGGACTTCTGATGCTCCACTGACCTCGTGTGGTGTTTCCGTTCCATGTGCAGTTTAACATCCACTGCTTGCTCCAAATGGCTTTAGTTGGACTGTCGACACTGGGGCGGGACTCCGGCTCGGGTATTACGTTTGTCCAGTATTGGGGCCTATAGTCATCGTGTTGGGGCCGAAGCTTCAAACGATCCAAAAGAATCCCCGGCGCCGAGCCAGCGAGCGAGCCAGCCCCGACATTCCGACTGCCCGGTCGGCGAGTGTGGACTAACTTTTCCGGTTCGCTCCGGGCCGTTTCATTGTGTGCCCAGTGCGTCTGGCCATGTTGTTCCGGAACGCAGCCTTCCGCGACCGCTCCGGCGATAAACGGGAAAATGGAGAAGAAGCGCGGGCTGCCACAATGTATCAAAAGGAAATCCTTGCGGTGAAACGAAGGAATTCCCGAGAATGTGTTTATAGCTTAAGCTTATATGTGAGTTATTTTTCGAACGAAAGCGCTGATCTTCTATAGAGCGACACGCCGTGCGGAAAAAAACACCACCGAACGTTTCCAGCCGCTGGCTTTAGTAGCGTCGACTGACTCACCTTCCGAGCTTCAGCCAGTGGCTCTCTCTCTACCGGCCGACAAGGACCGGTCTGCTGCCTTTCCTCACTGCCTCTCCGCCATATGAGGCCGACAGACTGACTCCCTCCTACCGGCCGACAAGGACCGGTCTGCTGCCTTCCCTCACCGCCTCTCCGCCATTATACGAGGCCGACAGACTCCCTGTCCCTCATCAGTGACTGCCCAGCGGAGCCACCTGTCTCCCTGCAGCGACGGCCCTCTTTTCACCTGTCTCTGCAGGGACGGCCATCTCCCCAGCTGAACCATCCGTCTATCCCTGCAGAGACTGCAGAGACGGCCCTCTCCCCAGCTGAACCATCCGTCTATCCCTGCAGAGACTGCAGAGACGGCCCTCTCCCCAGCTGAACCATCCGTCTATCCCTGCAGAGACTGCAGGGACGGCCCTCTCCCCAGCTGAACCATCCGTTTATCCCTGCAGGGACAGCCCTCTTCTCACCTGTCTCTGCAGTGACGGCCCTCTCCCCAGCCGAACCATCCGTCTATCCCTGCAGAGACTGCAGAGACGGCCCTCTCCCCAGCTGAACCATCCGTCTATCCCTGCAGAGACTGCAGAGACGGCCCTCTCCCCAGCTGAACCATCTGTCCATCCCTGCAGGGACGGCCGCCGTCTGCCCGCCGCCGCCGGCCGGCCGGCTCTGCAGCTGACTGGCGGCGACCCCTCCGTGGCCGGCATGTACCAGTGTCACGTGACCGATGACCTCGCCACCGCCCAGGTCAGGATCGGAGGTCAGTGCCGGCACCAGACGACTGATGCAGTCACCCGACGGCCGTCACCCGTCTGAATAACGCCAGACCGGCTCCCTGATCTGACCCGTGTTGCTGAGGCGCAGTAGCCGACCTGGCTCCGTGACCTGACCTAACCTGACCTGAACTGTGTTCTTGAGGCAGAGCGTGGCTAACCCGACTCCGTGACCTGACCTGACCTGCGCCCGCCAGGACAGCCCTTCTCCTTGACCTGCTCCTTGACCCTGAGGTACAGCGTGGTCGGCCCGGTTCCGTGACCTGACCTGTGTTCGTGAGGGCAGCTCTACTCCGTGACCTGACCTGTGTACTTGAGTTAGAGCGTGACCGGCCGGGTTCCGTGACATGACCTGTGTCCGCACGGGCAGCCCTGCTCCGTGACCTGACCTGACCTATGTCCCTGAGGTGCTTACAGTATGGTCAGCCCTGCTCTGTGACCTGACCTGACCTGACCTATCTCCGTGTGTGACAGCGTGGCCGGCCCGGCTGCTGTCGTCGCTGGTTCAGCAGACGGTGCAGCCGGGGGTGGACGCCACGGTCACCTTCACCTGTGCGGCCACCGGGTCTCCGCCGCCGGCCGTCACCTGGACAAAGGACGGCGTCAGCGCCGACCAGCTGGGCGGCAGGTGGGTCAGCTGGACTGGAGACTAAGCGGCAGGTGGGTCAGCTGGACTGGAGACTAAGCGGAAGGTGAGTCAGCTGGACTGGAGACTAAGCGGCTGGTGGGTCAGCTGGACTGGAGACTGGTGGGACAGAGCTGTCCTACTACTTGGTCGTCTTAAACTTTTGAGTGTTGAAGATGTGATAGACTTGTTCGTCCACGAGCCTGCCATGATCGTTTAAAATGGCTTCATCGTAGATCGATTAGTTTCTGAGATATAACCGGAAATAAGAGCAAAACCTACCGCTTAATCTCGCGAGAGCCGTATGTACATACATACGTGGCCGACTGGTGTATCATGAACGATACGGCACGGTGAAAGATTTGGCTTAGTTGCTTACTATTTAATCATTTATCGATGTGTGATACTAATTAGCAATTACCATGTGTTGTGTCCACGATATTTTGTTGATCAGTTGCAACAGCGATTCCCAGTTGAGTGTCTTGTCCCGCTGCCCCCAGGCTCCACGTTCAGGATAGCACGCCTGGACCCAATGACGTCACTAGTCAGCTGACGATTCAGCAGGTGTCTCGGGAGGACGGCGGTCTCTACCGGTGTGTGGCGGAAAACTCAGCCGGCCGGGCCGAGGACTCCGCCGCACTGAACGTTTACGGTGAGTGCATATATGGCCTTGGTGAGTGCACACTGCACGCCGCATTACTGCCGGGCTGTGACTCACAGCAATTGTGGTTGTCCTGTTCACTTTTGATAAACAAATATGCCACTTCAGGTGACATGATGATGATGTTCCTCCCGGCCCCAGCTATTGCCGGGGCGTAGCCGATCGGCTCTGGAATGAGCGAAAGCCGGCGGCAAAGGCCGCCACCACGTCGTCCCGTCGTAGGTCAGGTGGTCGACCGTGCATGTTTCCCAGCGCGTGGAGGCGCGTGCCGCACAGGCACGGGCAGCGAAGCAGCACGTGTCGCGGCGTATCCGCCTCCTCGCCGCACACCAGGCATCGAGCCGCTGGGCACTCGGTGTCGGCGCAGCCCTGACAGGTGTCAGTTGGGCGGCGTCCGATGCGGTGCAGGTACTGGGCCGACTGGCTCCAGTGTCCCGCCCGCAGCTGATGTGTGTCAACCGCGGCCATCCGGTTGTCACCGCTGACCGGTCCCGGTAGATGTTCTTCACCGAATATTTCCTTGTACCAGCCGTCTGGCCATGCACGTTGCCACTGGCGCCGGGCAGACCTGGCGGCGGCGCGGGTGGCGCTCCTGGTGTCAATAGGGGCATTTGACTGGTCCATGCCTGCGGCCTCCTTTGCGATTGCATCGGCGCGCTCGTTGCCGGCCAGGCCACAGTGGGCGGGCACCCACTGGAGGTGCACCGGTCGACCGCGCTCCACCAGTAGCAGCAGCTGCTGCCAGATGGTGGCTCCCAGCTGGGTAGTCTGGGCTGCGGGACCGCTCTCCAGTGTCATCAGCGCCGCACGGGAGTCTAGGCAGGCTATGATTGGGTCGTCACCGCCGGCGGGGGCGGCGTCCTCTTGCTCGATCTCCACGATCTTTGCGAGCGCGTCTCGGAGTGCAACCAGCTCCGCTCTTGTGCTCGAACAGTAGACGCCTGCTGGGGTTCTGACCTCTTCCGTGTTGCCGTTCGGGAGGGTGATGTGGGCGCCTCCTCCGCCCGATGTCACTCCTCCTGTCGCTGATCCGTCCGACCATATCCAGATCGCGCGCTCCGCCCCCGGGAGCTTCTCTAGTAGGTCCTCTGCCGCGGTTCTCCGGGACTCATCTGATCTGCCTCTTGCGCATGCGGGTCCAGCGGTGGGGGCGATGGAGACTCCTTCCGTAGGAGTCCACGGAGGGAGAGTTGCCGCAAGGCTGGGCTCGACTGGAACATCCAGCGCTCCCAGGTCGCGTAGGGTGTTGCGCCCCAGCTCGCGCCAGCCGCGAACGGCGGAGAGGCGGGAGTGCTGTGTCGCGGTGGCCACGGCTCTCAGTGGGTCGTCTGGAGGCAGCGAGGCTGCTCTCATCACCATTCTCGTGGCTAGAGTGGTGCGTCGCATCTCTGCCGTGGCCATGCCGGCCTCCGCCATCAGGCCGTGCGTCGGCGTCGACATGGGACAGCCGGTGACTGCCCTGGCCGCCGCGCGCAGTTCCCGATCGACCAGCTCCACGTGGGACGGGGAGGCCGCCGGCAGCCAGGCTGCTGCAGCGTACTCTAACGCGCCGCGAACATAGCCGTTGGCTACTGTGCGCAGGTGATGCTCTCGTAGTCCCCATGAGTGGCCGGTGAGCTTCCTCAACTGTGCTGTGCGTGGGCGGACCTTGCGGCGCAGGCTGGCGCAGTGCTCGCCGAAGTGGAGGAGGCGGTCTAGCGTCACTCCCAGCAGCTTGACATGAGATGTTGCGGTGACGTCCGATCCTGCGACCTTGAGCGTGACATTCTTGGCGTCAGGGGCCCACTGAGACAGAACCAGGATTTGGGTTTTGTGGCCGGCGATGTTCATCTTGTTCTTGGTCGCCCATCTCGCCATCATGTCTGCCGATTGCTGTGCTCGGGACAGAGCCATCTGGATGTTCGGGCCGGCGCTCACTGTGGCGGTGTCGTCTGCGTACATGTAGCAGTCCGTGCGGGGCACCTTGCGCAGCTCCTCGATGAGGTCGGCGGCCCAGAGCGTGTATAGGGTCGGCGCGAGCACGGATCCCTGCGGCAGGCCGGCTCTGAAGGGCCTGTCCCGGCTGCGAACGCCGTTTACCTCCACGCAGGCTCGGCGATCCCTGAGCAGCTGGAAGATCCAGGTGACGAGGCATTTAGGTAGGTGTCTCAGCAGTTTGTTCTGGAGCATCTTGTGGTCGATGGTATCATATGCTCGCGCGAAATCGTAGGCGACGAGCACAAACTTGTCTGCAGTGATGCCGTCCTTTGGGCGGCCGCGAGCCTTCGGCTTGTTCCAGCCATCTTGTACCGACTGGATCAGCCGGCTCAGGTTATCTTCAGCGGCGCGGCCACGGCGGAAACCCACCTGCTCTGGCGGGATCAGACAGTGCATCTCGCAGAGGTGCGTGAGACGGGCGGCCACCATCCGTTCGGCGAGCTTAGCCACAGTGCTCGTCAGGGCGATTGGACGATAGCTGGAGACGTCCTTGGGGTTCTTCCCTGGCTTCGGGATCGGGATGATAGTAGCCCGTTTCCAGCTTGCCGGGATCGCGCCCTTTGTCCAGGTCGAGTTGATCAGATGGAGCAGCGTCTCGCGCGCTCTGGGGCCCAGGTGCTGCAGGTGCTCCGCGCATACTTGGTCCGGACCCGGCGCCTTCCGCGACTTCATCTTCTTCATCTGGGCGTTCATCTCTTGCATAGAGAAAGGCTGGCAGGCGTCTGTCCTGTTATTACCACAGGAGCAGGGGGCCCGCCGACGTCCTTTCAACTCCGCCTTGGTGCGCCTGTCCCACTTCTTGCTGCGCACGTGCTTGCTGACAGCAGCGTACGTTGCGACAAATGCCTCGGCCTTGCTACGGTCCTCCACGGCCTCGCGGCCGCGGTCCCCGTTGATAGCTTGGCCAGGGGCAGTTGACTGTACACCGCCCTCCATCTTGCGGAGCAACTTGGTGATACGGCCCAGGTTCGCATGTTGGTTGAGCTCTTCTGTGGCGAACGTCCGGAACGCTCTCTTCCTCGCTTCCTCTTCGGTCTCCGCGGCCTTCTTCTTGGCGCGTTTCCACGCCTCGCGGTTCTCCGGTGTGGGCGACTGATCGAGGGCAGCCCTCGCCTCTCGTCGCTCCGCCACGGCACGCTCCAACTCCGGGTCCAGCGCCCATGGCTTCGGGTCGGCCCTGGCACCTCTGGGTATGTGTTTCGCGCTGGCTTGCATGATGGCGTCTGTGAGGCGGTTGCTCAGCTGATCGACGGTCAGATGAGCAGGCGCGGCGGCTGTGAGTGCAGTCTCGCAGTCTTGGGTGTACGCCGTCCAGCTCGCCTTCCGGAACGACCATCGGGTCTTCCGGATCCGTCGAGGCCGGCACCCGCTGACGGTGACTGTCATCACCTGTGGCAGGTGGTCACTGCCCAGATCATCACCGGTACGCCAGGTGCAGCGTCTTGCCAGGTCTCGGTGTGCCATGGACACGTCCGGTGCAGTCGGCGGGCCGGTTCCGTAACCAGAGCGGGTGGCAGCTCCGGAGTTGAGGGCCTCCCATCCATTGGTCTCCATCCAGTCTTGCAGCAGTTGGCCGGTACTGTCTGGCTCGGTGCACGACGGGTCCCAGGTTCCGTGGTGGGCATTGAAGTCGCCAGTGATGATGGCGCTGCTGGTTGTTGGGAAGGCGGCCATGGAGAACCGATCCACGCGTTCGTCGTCCCCTGTGGCTCGGATCGGGGGCCGGTATACGTTGTGGACGTCGATGCTGGTGATTGAGCTCGGTCTTGGTCTTGCGTTAGTGTTCTGCGTCTGATTCGGGTGACTAGAGTAGAGGAATACCCGGGTGGCGCACCATTCCGTGGAGTCGTCCAGAGGGTGGAGAGGCGGTTGGTCGATGGTGGTGAACTGAAGGCCGTCGCGAACGAAGAGTGCCACGTCTCCGCCCTTGACAGGTCCGCCGTCCCTCCTCCCACGCGCCCGACGGGTGACCACAGCTGTCTGGTACCCAGGAATTGACGGGTTCTTGTTGGCCGCTAGCTGAGCCTCTTGCACAGCTACCACGTCCGCCTTCGTTGCGCTCAGCCAGCGTTGGAACTCCTGCATCTTAGTGCGGAGCCCCTCCGCGTTCCAGGACACGATGACCAGGCGGCTTCGCGCGGAGCGGTTCAGGCGGTAGCGGCGGTTCTTGGCGCGGCGACTCCGTCCTCCCCGGGCACGGTCGCTGCGGACACCCGGACCCCCGCCGGGGGCGCTACCGGCGGGGGCCGTGTCGCTCACTTATCTACTGGGACCGGGGCCGCCTCGGCTCTGCTCGCCGCGCGGCACCCGATCCCGTAGATGCTCTTGGATGTTGAGGTTGTTGGACGACGTGGTGGCGCGTCGGCCAGCGGCGTTCGCCCCCTGCAGGAGGCGTGTTGTGGTCGTTTGGTTTCCCCCAA